TACGTCACCAAGTATAATATTTAGTGCTTGTATGAAAGTTATATTTGAGAGTGGCAATTGGAAAAGTTATGGGGAAAAAGTGAAATTTTGATTTTTTTTTTATTTGAAAAAAAAAAAAAAGAGTGCTTGAAAATAAGTGTGAGGAAAAAATAATTTTCAAAAAATTACTTTAAGATAAGAGCTTACTAAAAAATATTTATTTTTTACTTTGATCAAGAAAAAATTAACTCATTAAACATTTTTATCTTATCCAAACATGCTCCATCAATGTGCCTTGGATATATTTCTATTTGAAAACATATTCGAATAAAACACAAGTAAAAATATTACTTATTTCAAAAATATGTCTTTAATAGTCAATTTTTTAAGGATAAAATTATTTGTACAAAATTTGGTTGACAAAATGGTTTACTCACTCACACATGCATGCGGGTCCCCCTTGCATTAAAAAATTCGGCCATGTGGTCCCTACCATTCTATTGTGAGAGTGTGTAAAACTTTTAGTACAAATATGTTTATACATGTAGCACAATCCATTTTTTAATTATTATTTTCTGAATTCTCCCTCAGCTTTGAGTAAGTCGTTAGAATGGAATTTGATATTCATATATGACTATCAATTAAATAATTTTAATTAATATTAAGAAAGGTATGTGACAAGTGATCAAATTTGAAACCAAATTAGAGTATTAATTTTATAGAAAGTTAAATGACAACACATGATAGTACACACCAGTGCTTGTTTGGTAGGGATTTTGATAATTGATCTTTTGACCGTTAGAGATAAAGTGGGTACTACTTGTGAGAGAAAAATTAAAAAATGACGGCTGAAATAATAAAATAACGATAAAAAAATTGATTTTACCTTGTTTAAAATATGTACCAAACAGAGTCATAGTTTACATTGAGTGCAGTCAAGTGCCTTAGAAAATTTGTCTTCAAAACCTTAAGAACATGATTTTACGTATTTATGTTTGTTACAAACAATTTCCTTGGCCGTGCAATGTTTTTCTTTCACACGATTTGAATAACTTCCTAACCTACTTGCTCCCAGCTTCAGTTTTTTTTTTTTCCTTCCCACTCATCAAATGTGTAGAAAAATTTCATTTATTCCGGTGAGCTTTCAATTGTAATATAGAGCCGATGTGCATGATTGAAATAGGATGAGTCTATGTTCATTATTTGGGTATACGACCCAATGACACATTCAAAAGTTGTGTTTCCAAAGGGGCCCCAAATGGATTAAGCCCTTGTTTGGGTCTTATTCTTTTGGAAAAATGTATTTTTTAATAGTGTTTTGACATCATTTCAACAACACATTTGTTTTGACATCATTTCAACAACACATTTTTCAATAAAATAATATTACACGTAAATCCAAAAATTTTTCTTGTTTTTTAACCATATATTTCCTATCAATACACTATTCAAAAATTCATTCTTTCAAAAAAATGGAACTCAAACAAGGGCTAAGTTTGAAATCCATTGTTATTAGACCAACCTGGACAAGGTACTGGGTCTCAGTTTTAAGGTATACTTGTTAAATCTCCATGCTTTAGTTGGCATCAAATCCACAGTTATTAGATCGATCTGGACAAGGTACTGAGTCTCGGATTATTGGTTGAACGGGTGGATCAATGGTCGAACTGGTGGGTCATTGCATAAAAATCTATAAAAAAAAAAATTAAAATTAAAAGTATAAAATTTTTTTAGGCAAAATTATATTTTCTTAAGTTATTTTTCACTAATTATTTAGGTCTACAAAGTAAAAGGTTGGACCAAAGTTTTTTTATAAAAACACTTCTAGAAAACCTACATAATATATATGATTCATTGGATACATATAAGTTATTGCACATAAAAATTATTAAAGTACTCGACTACTGCAATTGTGAGGAACAAACTGTTTTTCGAGGTCCAAGGTTCAATTCGATGAACCCCAAAATTTTAAAAGGCAATTTTGAAAACCAATAAATCAGGCCGACGGTTCTATATTAGAATTGATGGTTTTCTTGATCAAAGCCTGTTTTTGGCCTAGTCATGTGCATTCTTATTAAATTAATATACCCGGCCCGAACAAAGCCCGAGTCACCGTTTTTCTGTCCAATTGGCCGATTTGGACTGAATTTTATAAGTATGCTCAAGTCCCATACTTGGGTCAATGTTGAAACAGTTTTATTGAGTTTGAGTGGATATATAATGTACAAGCATGATTGAAAAGAGTGGGGGATCTATTCTTGCTATTTGAGCATGGCCCAATATCACTTTCATAAATCCCTTGTTTGATTCCTATTATTTTTAAAATACATTTTTTTTTCAACCTCACATTTTAGTAAAATAAAAGAGGTAGGAAAAAAATTCCGGATTGCACTTGAGTTTTTGGATAATGATTTTTTGAAGAATATGTGGTTAAAAAGCAGAAAAAACTTTGGATTTACGTTAATAATAATTTTTTGTGAGAATATGTGGTTGAATATAAGTGTGAGAAAAAAAGAGTTTTGAAAAAATAATTGCCAAACAGTGACATAATAGCGTGGAAACCAAAAACTATCCAAGAGTAAAAAGCGTAAAGTTGTACTTGTATCACTACAGTTACTCAATTTTCATTCTACGACAACTAATAGTCACTCATTAAACCACGGATAGTAATATTAATGGAAAAAAATCGGCATTGCATTTAATGGTATCATAATGTTATAGTTATACATATACATATTTCTTTTTTAGAAAAATAAATAAAAAGTTTATTTCCAAAGTGCAAAAGTGTAACAATAAAAAATAATAATAATAATTAAAGTTGAGTGACCAAAATGAAATTTTATTGTAAGTTTAGTGACTAAAATGAAATTAACCCTTTTCTTTTATTTTATAGATTACTCAGGTGGTGCAATACTGAACTCAAGGAAAATTTCTTGCTTTTCGAAAAACAATTCCCGCGTGGGAAACGTACCGAGGACTCGTTTCCTTTGAGCTTCTTATTGGATTAGGGTTTTTACAAATCTCCATTCTCTTTCTCTCTCCACAGCCGCAGGTAAGCAGATCTTCTCCTAAATCCCCTTCTCACACACACGCATTCATACACAGAATGAATTAGCTGATAAATTCCGAACAATTGCTCAGGTTTGACTCAGAATTTGTGAATTAGAATGTGCAAAAATTTAAAATGCATTCGATGTTTGCACTGGAGCATGAATTATAAGAAGCAATTCTTTTAGTCCGAGATGTAATGGTTATGTTTCAGCAAAAAAATATTTTTTACTTGCAACATTTAGGCTTTTCTTTTGAACCCTTGGTTTACTGAATTTCAGATAATTTGCATTTTCTTGACATAAGTTTAGATTTTCTCGCTTCTATAGTATGCTCAACTTTCGACTGTTAATACTGGCTTAGTCTGGGTAAGGAATTATTTATGGTATTTTATTATTATTATTATTATTATTATTATTATTATTATTATTATTATTATTATTATTATTATTATTATTATTATTATTATTTGTTTGTATGGGTTTTTAAGGATTGGGATTTACTCAGTTGCGTGTGTATGTGAATTTGTACTTGGAAATACAGTTCATAGATTTGGAGACTTATATAATGGGATTTACTCAGTTGCACGTGTATGTAATTTTGTACTTGGAAATACAGTTCATAGATTAGCAGTAGATAATGAAACTTTCCGTTTACTGCCTGTGAAAATGAGTAGGCAATTTTTTTTGGCGAACAGGCATAAATTGTGGGCAAAATTCCAAAATCTGCAGAAAATGTATAAAATGAAAAAGTGGATCTCTTTGGAAATTAAAGAACGTGAAAACCATAAGGAAGAATTGTGAAAAAGTTAAACTTAAAAAAATAAAAAATATTAAACCTACTGAGCTTCTATAACACATCATACAAGAAGAATTATGAAATCTCAATGAAATAGGTTGTTAAATCAGCAGACGTATGATATATTAATATTAGACATCAGTGTTATTATTTATATTATAATGGTTTAATAACTCTTCCTATAGATTAGGATAATTGACATATGCTATCACAGTCATGGCAAGAAGCCAAGATATCTGTCGAATTCAAAGAAACATCACTAGGATCACGTTCAAGCTTGTTTGGAGTTTCAACGGATTTTTGCTAAGAATCTTTACATCCTTTTAAGTACTGGTTAATGGGACAGATTCTGAAGAATTAATTTTGTAGTGTTTTGTGATTGAAGATAAAAAAAACCTATCTTTCTAATATCAACCTATTCTCGGAATATAGACATTTGGATGTTTTACATGTTCATGTGTATAAGTGACTAATTCTTCGTGCATTTTGCTGCTCTGCATGTGTGAATGCTCTGGTTTTCAAAAGAGGTACTCATATAATGGCCTCGTTGATAGCTTTTCAGAAAGTTATCCTGAGGATGCTATTATGATGCTGATCAATTATTATTTTTCCACCTGAAGTCACTTGTTGCATTTGTAATAACTTTTGAAAGATGGAGGGCGGCCTGGAAAAGTCTCCACAGTTAAGGCATCCTACTGATAGTTCTGATGCTAAGCTTGTATCTGGCCTTAGCACTCTACTGGTTGCCACAATTCAGGAAGCAAAAGATAGGATTTCGCAGATAGAGTACATATTCTGCAACCAACTCTTTCCAAATTTTCAGTCAAAATCTAAAAGCTGGCAGAAAGTGTATTTGGAAGCAAGGGAAGCTGCAGATGCATGGAAAGAGAACGAAAAAGATCTGTTACTCCAGATTAAAAGGCTTCAGTTTGAAAAAGAGCAAGTTTTCGAAGAATATCAGTCTCTGAAGATGCAGAAAGAAAACTTCACCAGTATAGAAAACCTATCCCCCCGTTGTGTCCACGAGCTACAAGAAGAATTGAAACGTAAAACTGATGAAGTAAGTGAGGGGAGAGAAGTGCAACAGAATTTGCAGAAGCTTCTTGACTCAAAAGCTTCCCTCATTCTCAGTCACGAAAATACACGGAAAGAGCTTGAAGAGAAAAATCTCCTGCTTGTGGAAAAGAAAAAAAATTTGGAGGTTGAAGTTGAGAAATTGCGGTTAGAGCTGATGAAGAAGTCTAAAGAAGTTGATGAGGTAATGGAATTGCAGAACAAGCTTCTCCAAATAAATCAATCAAAAGCTTCTCTGATAGTGCGTAGAGAAATGCAACTAAAGGAGCAAGAAGAGAAGGCAAATGGACTCATTTCCAAACTCCAAAGTATGGAGAAAAAGGTTAATGAGCTTCAGCAGGGATATAAAGAAAAAACACAGGAAGTGGAAAAGGGCAGGGAGTTGCAAGGCAATCTACTGAAAAAAATTGAAATGCAAGCCTTAGAAATTATGAATCACGAACAGCTGTTGAATAAGCTCGAGAAGGACAAAAGACTATTCACAGTCCAAATAGAGAGTTTGGCGAACCGTGTTGATGAGCTACAGAAAGAACTCAAGACAAAAGAAATTGAAGTGAAGGAGGAAAGAAACGTCCAAGAACAACTTCGCCAACAGATTAATTCCCATACTCTGGAAATGTTGAAGAGAGAACAGGAATTGGAAGAGTTTGAGAAGGAAAAGAAACTGCTTCTGGCCAAAAAGAAAGAGTCAGAGGACAAAATTGATAAACTCCAACAAAATCTGCATGAGAGAAGTAAGGAGTCTTCTGAGGGAATGGACTTGCATGCGAAGTTACTGCAACAAATTGAAGCGAAGGATTTGGAATTACAGTCTGAAAAGAAGAAAAGGCGCGAAGTTGTTGCTGCTTATAAGAAGCTGAAATCTCAATACAACTTTCTGTGCAAAAAATGTGGTCTTACTCCAGAAAATATGCTCCCTCTCCACAAATTAGGAGGTGAAAGTGAAATTTTGAGGCATAATCATAGTCCTGGAACTTCTGATGGTAATTTTTGTTCTTTTGGTATTGCAAACTTCTAGTATATCAAATTCTGTCTGTGAGATTTCAATTGAACTGCCCGAAAAATATGGTTCTCTTATCCCACTTTGTTGAACATATAGTTGATCACAATTAGATGAATACTGCTATTCTGTTCTTCATATTAGCTGAATATTTTAGGTCAAAACTGTTATGGAATCTTCTTTCTTTATCAGTGTTTAAAATGCTCTTACCCTTGGTAAAATATTTCTATCATTACAGATGCTGGAAATAAAGTTTTAAAACCTGTTGGCCTTGTTAATGAAATGATTAAACACAAGGGTGATCAAGAATTATTGGAGGATGACAAAGGAGTTGTACACATTCAAAGATCAAACTCTGTTTCACCGTCTACTTCAAGTGTTGCCATTGCACCAAAGTGTCAAAACAGTGCAAAATTTTGTCCCCCAGCCGGTACGAAACGTCCGGTTTCTTATTGGAGGGATACCAGGTCCCATCAGAGCCGAGTTGGACCTGATCTCCATGATGATTTTCTTGACACCCCTTTGGAGAATATGAGAGGAAACTTCGGGAAGGTTATAAAGGAGAAAACTAATGATCTTCCTATGCCGGTCCCAGAGAATATGAACTTCGACAACTCAGATGATGAGACACAGGACATGAACATTGATAGTGGTCTGCAAAAGCAACAAATGTCACCTTCAAAGGCTGGGACATCGGGCTTCAAGTACATAGAACCAGTAAGAAAGAAATCTGAGAGGGAAAGTCTGAAGGGTATAGAATGCAAGCAATGCAGAAAGTTCTACGATGCTGTTCTTCCTAACGAGGGTAAGAATTCTGATGGGAATAAGCAAATACGCTGTGAGCATCATGATGGAGTTTCTAGGCATCGATATAGGTATGCTCCTCCTTCAACTCCCGAAGGATTTTGGAATATTGGATTTGAATCAGAAATGTAAGTTCCTATATATTTGATTTCAGATTCACTTTAATTACTAGGAATAATAAATTCATCTTACCTGCTTAATATTTAAAGGGTATATAACAAGGTCAGGTCAAATTGGAATCAACATCACTACTTTACAAGATTTTTATCTCCCTGCCGGCTTGAAGATCCGTATAGTATGCTACAAAGATTAATGTAGTATTGAGTTTTATTTTTGCATTCTTTTAGATATACTAAGCAGCGTCAAACACAGTCCTCATATTTTTAAAGTGTTTTTAGCGTGAATACTTGGTGCAATAGGAAGTTCAAATGTATTCTACTCATTCTAAAACCTTACACTGATCATTAGTTGATCATGGCCACTCAAGGGGCTTGTAGAGTATAGATTTGGCTCTCTATTGTTACGAAAGGAATGTTAATAAAATAAAAGGGTACGTTTATTTGTACCAAAAAGAGAGAAATAGAGGAAGGACAGTCAGTATATCCTTTCTGATCACTTTTTATCTCCCTGCCGGCTTGAAGATCTGTATAGTATGCTACAAAGGTTAATGTAGTATTAAGTTTTATTCTTGTATTCTTTTAGATATACTAAGAAGCATCAAACGCATTCCTCATGTTGTTAAGTGTTTTAGCATGAATACTTGGTGCAATAGGAAGTTCAAATGTATTCTACTCATTCTAAAACCTTTTACTGATCATTAGTTGATCATGGCCACTCAAGGGGCTTGGAGAGTATAGATTTGGCTCTCAATTGTTACGAAAGGAACGTTAATAAAATAAAAGGGTACGTTTATTTGTACCAAAAAGAAAGAAATATAGGAAGGACAATCAGCGTATCCTTTCTTATCACTTTTTCCCTTTAACATTCTGACTAACGGTTTTTTGAGGTTATAGTTTGCATAATAGTTTTGCATCTAAGAGTTCGTTTTCAGTATCTCCACGAAGTGATGAATTGCTTTCTTGAAAAGGCTTTCTATGTATATGCATTCGAAAGGTATTTGTACACAAAATATCTTTTGACTCCTATGTTTTGTAAAATTAAGCCCCCATTTGACAACCATTAAAATGAATATTTTGGGGAAATTGAATTTTGAAAGTGATTTTTTAGAAAATGTGGTTAAAAAGGGTTGTGCTTTGGGCTTCACTACATGTGAGTTTATGAACACTCTTATGGACTCAAAACTATGTACCAATAAATTTATCTAGTTAAGATTAAAAAATTTGAATTTATGTGCAAAATATTTATTGTGAGAATGTGGGAAAAAAAAATTTTATTTTAATAATTGTCTAACAGGGGTTAAATCTTTAGTTATATATATATATATTTTGGGGGCTAAATATGTTATATCATATACATGTGTTTGGGGCTTTGAGTATGGAGATAACAAGTTCATGTTAAGAGCAGAATGTGAAATTGTTGGGGTTTGATAATCACTTATTTTTGTTTATATTCATTCACATGATATTGAAAATGTAACTAATATATAGAGATTTATGCCACTTCTCTTAATGAGGTTAACCTTATTAAAAAGAAATTTAAGAGTCATTATGATATAGAACTCAAAGTTTAAATAGGCAATTTGGTTTGTTTAAAACTCAACTTAGTAATTGAATTGGATAGATTGTAAATTATGATAAAAATGATGGTTTGCTACCATTTGATGTAGTAGAACTTGGGTAGGGGTTGAAATCACAAGAGGTCTCTCCAAGCATGGCCGGCCTAGATGTTTGACCGTTTAAGAAAGTGCAATGTTTGGGCATTCTTATAATTGTTTTCGCAACTCGAAAATTTTGGCTCCAACCATGCCCACAATGCATTTAATTTACCATGAAGTAATGGAAATGACAAAATTTGTCACAACTTTGCACGATTTTTGTATAGTAATTTAAAGTAAAGAGGATATAATTAATCTAGAATAGTAAGAGGGAAAGGGTTGTTCATCTAAAATTTGAAAAATTCAACCAAGTCCCGGAAAACAATGAAAAATTGTTCATTTTCATCTTGATCTAAATGATCCATTCATTTATTGCTGTATTTACGTAGGTTTGGGACAAGACCCATGGGCACAGTTGTTAGGTTGTCGGAAGGATTTATTTGGATTCAATATAAAATTTAAATATAATTTTCAGTTTTTAAACTATTCGATTAAATTTAGCCCCGTTTGCTTCCATTAAATTACATGCTATTTTTTTTCTCTTCTATTTTCAACCGTATAATCTTCCATAAAATAATATTACACGTGAATCAAAAATATTTCCTTATTTTTCAACCACTCATTTTTCATAAGAACGTTATTCCTCTCATTTTCATTATAAAAAAATGGAGTCCAAATGAGGGCTAAATTTGTAAATGTCTTTGAATTTTTAAAATGCAATGAACTTAGAGATTCTGTCAGCAGTTCTTGGAATAGGATAAGGTTTAATTTATTATTTATTATTTTTTCCTCCCAACGATCTTTGGCCACTGATATTTTACTTTGCTTACTCATCTGACATCTCTAAAATTCAGAAAATAATTCATTCGGACAATTAATCAGTTGATCATTTATGCTCATTTTTTTACTGAAAGTATATGCATTGGTATGTCAAGTCGTCAAACCGTTAGTTCATGTATGAATTTTTATGTTTAAGTACTTGTGTTGTTAAGGATTAAAAGTTGATTAAAATTAATTTTTATTATTATTATTTTACTATTCAAGTCGTCATTTTTAAATTCTTCTCTCACAGGTAGAACTCACTTTATCTCTAACGATCAAAAAATCAATTATCAAAATTCCTACCATACAAACTCTAAAAATGGATGTCAAGATGAATAGAAGGCGTGATGAAATATTTTTGTAAAATTCAGTGATAAGTTCAAATTTCAGTGACCATTAGTGAATTAATTGAATAGGATTAACGTAGTATATAAGTCTCATTAAGCTAATATTTTATTGGGTATTATATTGTGAGGAAATGTCACTATTTTTGGGAATTTAATGAAGTTGGGTCCACAAATACATGTTCATTTGCAGGCTGGCAAGTCACATGGGATTTCAATATGCAACATCTTGACCTCTGTCTTTCCGTCCTAATTTTATTGTTTAACGCTTCCCACTTTTGGTTCTCACGGTCCCTGTCATGCATGTGCCATTTCTCAGAACTCCCAACTTATTCAATTTATTTAGAACTATGACGTAGAGAGATACATTCACTTTATTCAAAAATTATAGCTAATGAAAAATGGGTACTTCACCTTATATCACCCATAATCAAACTCGTAAGTCACCCCAATTCCAGTCCATTTCAGCCTCACTTCAATGGCACCTTAAACAAGTCTATTGTTAAGTCCCAAATAGCGACTATATGATCATCCCTGACTCAAGCATGTTTCTGTATTATACACACGTTCTATGAAAATGCTCTAGTATTGACTCGAACTTGAAACTTTCAGCTCCAATACTACTTTGTAGGGAAATGTAATTACTTTGTCCAAAAATTATATAGCTAATGGGAGAAATGCAATTCACACTAAATCATCGGAATCGAGCTTGGGAATCCACTTCAAACCCACTCCATTTGGGATTCACTTTGAAGGACACCTTATATGACAATATGTTCACCCACATTTCAAGCAAGCTCGTGCATAAACTTGGTAAATGATAGTGAATCATTCTGTGAACACTATACAGTTAGTAAGAATACCAAAAGACAGGATGTGGAGGTGATAGCTCTAAATAAACAAGATGACTTGTTATAAAGATTTGGTGAAGTAATGTCAAGAATGACGATATTTGACATGTATTGTGACATGCAAATTAACGTGTTGCTATTATTAGAAGCCATCGATTAAGCTCACCAATCGAACCAATTTGAACTTTTAGTTCGGTATCTTATGATTACATCTCTCACTTACTCACACTATATGAGGAAAAATCCCATTCATTTAGGGGATATTTGAAAGCAATTATACACTTTCGTATAGTCATTCACTGATTTAGGTGTCGGGAATCCATACAAATGTCAACCTCCTAACTCGACTATCTTATGGAAATTAGATTGGAAAGTTGTAATGATCATGAAAGTCTATGTCAAGTAATTACATCAACAAGTTCTATGTAATAATGTATATCAAATACATTTGCATATTAGTAAATGTAGACTAACAACAATTCTTTAACTTTTACTTTACCATTAGAACCAAAGACCTTTGTTATCGTAAACTACTTTTATTTTTTTCATACCAAGTTATTTATTCTAGTAATTTTCATTCTCGATAACTATACCATAATTTGATTTTCATCAAGTAAATGTACTTCAATTTTATTGAATATGATATCAATTAGGTAACTATACTTAATTTCAATTAAACTAATTTATTCAATTTCAATAACGATAATCGATGACATGATAGTCAATAGAAGATTTTTATTAACTACGTATCTATTTTTTGTTGATGTGAAATAAGTACAATTTCATTCACTGACTTCTATATCACTGGTTTCCGTCATTCAAGTAATGGAATTAGTTGGAGTTACCTAACTGAAATAAAGCTATAGTATAACCAGCAAAGTAATTTTATAGTTATCGCCAACAAAATTTATCTATTTTATTTTTATGAATAAATGCATTAAGTGCGTTTCTATGTAGAAAGAAATATAGACAGAAGTAACGTGACAATTAATCATTTGTCTCAAGATCAACTTTATTTATGTCATCTCAAACATTTATATTTTGTCTTATTCGATAAGCTATTGCTCTTTATTGAGCAACTTGATCAAAATATGATGGAGAACTTGTGTCATTACCAATGTTTCAAACCCACAATGATTTCCACACATATTATGATTTCTTCCATGACCGTTGTGCATAAATTTGAGAAATTCTAATGATTAAGGATCCAAAAAAGAAAAAAATTATGATATTTAACACTATTAATACTAGAGCACCAATTTAGACGATCACGCTTGATAGATTGAATTAAATGAATCATTTAATATTGCATTTAAATGAATATATTATTTAATGTTATACAAGTGCCATTTAGACAGGTAATATTAGCGATGTTGAATAACATTATTCTTCTATGATATTTTGGTCTGTTTATTATTTATAATGATAAATTTGTAAATATTTTTATTTTCATGCAAAATATATTTTTTGTGATCAGTAACTAAAATATAGTATACAAGATATAATGTTCTTAAATATGGTATGCTAATAAATTTATTTTATAATTATTTTTTCTTAATTTGATACAAAATAATTCACAAGTCAGACCGAAATATTATAAAACGAACATCGCATTTTTACATAATTCTCGAAACATGAATCCTAACGGTCATTTTTTCGAATTCTTTTCATTACTTTCCTTGTACATACCTTATACATCCTCTATATAAGTAACGGGCGATGACCATCGGTCAATGACGCTCCACAAAGATCACCGCTCCACTTCCACAACCAAATTCTCCCAGCCCCTTCTCCGCCGGGTTCAGAATACGCCGCCAGTGGCGGAATTTTATTCATGGCCGAGGTATATCGTGGAACCCAATAAGAAAACAATGCCAAAATTGTCTGTGGTGCTCTGTCTCTTCCAACTCCAGTGAGTATGGTCAGTTTGTTTAATTCTACTGACAACTTTTCTTTTACGTTTCTTCTTTCCCCCTTTTCTTGAAAATATTATTGACTATAACGTACTTCAATTGTTGAATATCGATTCATCTTGTCTGCGATTTTTCTGGATTTTACTGTCCGCTGAGTAG